GAGAACAGTAAATATAAATTTTACTGATGTATTTAAAAAAACAAAAAACTAATGTTTCCGTATTCAATAATTTTAAACGTTAGGACCTCTGCATGTAACTACCAACCCAACAAAAAAAACAACCTACCCCCGCATATGACAACAGCCATGCCATGATCACCTAAATAAACATTATTCTACCTGTTGTGAAACTCAATCGTTTATACAAGTTTATTATCGCAATCGTGTTGATGTTCAATGAATCGTGAAGGAGAGGAGCTTAAACTTAAAGATCCACACCCTACACTTATAGAATATCTATTTCAAGAGCTAGCTGTCATGAAGGAAGACGTATGAAAATCGGAATAGTTCAAATCTAAGGTTAGTTATTTAGATCTGCTAAGCTTTATGCTAAAACTTAATGTAGTTGTTTAACAAAATATGTCTGTTAAGTGTATACTGGTAAGCAACTTACACATTTACGGTGTGTAAAGAAATTAAAATATTCAATTCGAATATTTTAATGTACTATTTTAAATGACAGCATTTGAATGATAAGCTTTACCTTGATAAAGGTAAATGTTTAAGTGTCTAGCTGTGGTTTAGGATGTAAATGTGAGAAAGGGTGATGGTGTGGGTGTGGTTGTGGTTGCATGTGTGGGTGTGGGTGTGTGTTTGTGTGTGGGTGTGGGTGTAGGTGTAGGTGTAGGTGTAGGTGTAGGTGAAGGAGTAGGTGTAGGTGTAGGTGTAGGTGTAGGTGTAGGTGTAGGTGTAGATGTAGGTGTAGGTGTAGGTGTAGGTGTAGGTGTAGGTGTAGGTGTAGGTGTAGGTGTAGGTGTAGGTGTAGGTGTAGGTGTAGGTGTAGGTGTAGGTAGGTGTAGGTGTAGGTGTAGGTGTAGGTGTAGGTGTAGGTGTAGGTGTAGGTGTAGGTGTAGGTGTAGGTGTAGGTGTAGGTGTAGGTGTAGGTGTAGGTGTAGGTGTAGGTGTAGGTGTAGGTGTAGGTGTAGGTGTAGGTGTAGGTGTAGGTGTAGGTGTAGGTGTAGGTGTAGGTGTAGGTGTAGGTGTAGGTGTAGGTGTAGGTGTAGGTGTAGGTGTAGGTGTAGGTGTAGGTGTAGGTGTAGGTGTAGGTGTAGGTGTAGGTGTAGGTGTAGGTATTGGTACATCACATGTCCATGTTCAGGTTTAGCTATAGCTCAGGTAATGCTATCCCAAATTTTACCATATTATGGTAAGTGTGGGTTCCATTATTGTTTTTAATTTTAACCGACTAGGTCGTCAACCCTATATTTCTTTGGCAAGTCTAGAACTGCACATTTCATTACGTGAGTACCACAAATTTCCTTTCAACATACTCTTGCAGTGACCCTGCCAGATATAGGATCTGAACTTGCAGCGAACCAGTCAGAAATTTGACCTGACCTCACAGTAACGTGTCCGACATTTGACCAGTTTATAAGAAAATGCTGGCAAAGAAGTTTGTAGTGCTGTTGTCACTCGCCCTATGTTTCACCTGGGTGACCTCACAAACGGGTAGGTCACACTCGGTCTGTGTTTATTACATCATCATCATCTGGTCTCGTTTATAACCAAGGCACATGGGGAAGTTGAAGTAAAGTTCATCTAATTTAATTACCTCAGTAAACGAGGAGAAAATTTGGTCAGCACTATGCCCAGCAGCCTTTGTTTCTTTTGCCTCCACCAGAGCTGGGTGGAATTGGATACGAACGCGAGACTTTCGTGTTAGCAATCTAGCACTCTACCAGTTGTGTAGCGAGGTCTGCTGTCACCCGTTGCGGACCTTAATGGTGTCACCCCCCAGAGGCATAGCGACCCTTTCCGGGGAAAAACTTTCAAATTTTCGATTTGCATCCCCACCCCCTCAAACTTTCTATTTGCACCCGCTGCTCAAATTCAATGTTTTCTCTATATATTTTGCTATTTTTTGCCTTGGTGTCACCCCCCCCCCCCTAAATGGTGTCACCCGGTGCGCTTCACACACCCCGCCCCCCCCCCCTTCGCTACGCCTCTGCACTCTACTGCTAGGAAACGCCTCCGTTTATACACAACAGAATAGGCCTATTTCTAAAAAATACCCTTTATATATTTTATACACCAATACATGTCTGTGTTAGATGTAACAATTTTTGTAACTATCTGCCATAGGCTTGTTTGTAGAAGAATGTTGTATTCACCATCGTGATAAGAATATTCTAGTTTACACAACTAATTAAATAATGAGATGAAAATCATTGAATGTTGTATTTACTTTTAATCACATACAGGTTTACTTAAAATGTTTAGTATAAACACAGCAATCGGGAAAAATTAAATCAAATTTAAATTTATACCATTTAGCTATATTGTGATTTTAACCGTTGAGTGTGCCAGACCGTGAGTGGAGTTTAGCATAACGAGATATATAAATTTGTATTTTTACAGATATTTAAATTACGTCATTTCAAAATCGTAATCAGATTAATTGGAAAAAAAAATAACATTAGACAAGTACAAACTTTATTTTATTGATTTCCATTGACGATGCCCCCCCCCCCCCCCTGAAAAGGGTGTGGTTGTTAGATCGTTTTGGAGACCGAGAAAGTGAACGACAATCGAGTCGGCCATAAATAATAATCTCTTTAGTCTCCTGAGTGGAACTCAATCATAAAATAAAAAAAAAAGAAAGAAACAAACTAGAAATTGTACACGAAATTACAATCAGATCTATAACTTGGTAATACACGGCGAAGTATTTTTTTAAATTATTCCATTGATTCTATTTTCAAGAATCATGAATTGCCATTTTTAAAATACCACTACCCCATTTTTTTTAACAATAATAATAATTATTATTAAAAAGAAAATGCTGTGTCAAATATTTTTTAATCCCTTAAAATGAGAAAATAATTGCTTTGTACTTGTGTTAGTATGTTGATAGTTATCTTGACTTAGTAGAAAGACTGTTGGTTTAACTCAGGGGTCTCCAAACTTTTCAGTCCGAGGGCCGCATTAACTATCAAATTTCAGTTCGGGGGCCAGTTTCTTCCAGGCATGTCTTTGATTTTTCTGGTCCAACTTCCTCAGCCATCACCAACATACGATTTTTCCTTGGACAAAAAGATCTCCGCGGGCCGGATGAGAGGACTTCGCGGGCCGCATCCGGCCCGCGGGCCGTAGTTTGGAGACCCCTGGTTTAACTTAACATAACACGAATTAGTGAACATTATTTTATTAAGAAGAGTTATCTCCCTTGTACTTTTACTATCTTACAGTTATTCGATTTTTTAGCATTTCATCGATTGAACTTTTTTTTTTTAAATAATCGTGTCAGTTGTCGATCCAAAAGTTTTATATTTTACATTAGCTGTAAGGATTACATTTGTGAAAAAACATATAATTAATTGTATCATTATTTTTAAAAAAAATATGTATGTATACACGAACACGTCTCAAATGTAACCAAAGTTTTAGTTGTTCCTTTTTTTTTAAATCGCTGTTGACTGCAGAATCCTGTCGTTGGGCTGACTCAACGTTGATTGATGGACGGTGTTTTCTAGCCAGGACTCCCAGTGTTGCACTTACATGGTTGAATGCGCTTGTAAGATAGACGCAAATATTTTATAATTTAACAAAATCAATACATAATCTAATATTGTAAGATAGACGCAAATATTTTATAATTTAACAAAATCAATACATAATCTAATATTGTAAGATAGACGCAAATATTTTATAATTTAACAAAATCAATAAATAATCTAATATTGTAAGATAGACGCCAATATTTTATAATTTAACAAAATCAATAAATAATCTATTATTGTAAGATAGCGTAAATATTTTATAAGTTTACAAAATCAATAAATAATCTATTATTGTAAGATAGCGTAAATATTTTATAAGTTTACAAAATCAATAAACAATCTAATATTGTAAGATAGACACCAATATTTTATAATTTAACAAAATCAATAAATAATCTAATATTGTAAGATAGAGCCAATATTTTATAATTTAACAAAATCAATAAGAAAATATAATATTGTAAGATAGAGGCAATATTTTATAATTTAACAAAATTAATAAATAATCTAATATTGTAAGATAGAGCCAATATTTTATAATGTAACAAAAGCAATAAATAATATAATATAGTAAGATAGAGCCAATATTTTATAATTTAACAAAATCAATAAATAATCTAATATTGTAAGATAGAGCCAATATTTTATAATTTAACAAAATCAATAAATAATCTAATATTGTAAGATAGAGCCAATATTTTATAATTTAACAAAATCAATAAATAATTTAATATTGTAAGATAGAATAAATAATCTAATATTGTAAGATAGAGCCAATATTTTATAATTTAACAAAATCAATAACTAATTTAATATTGTAAGATAGAGCCCATATTTTATATTTTAACAAAATCAATAAATAATCAAATATTGTAAGATAGAGCCAATATTTTATAATTTAACAAAATCAATAAATAATCTAATATTGCAAGATAGAGCCAATATTTAATAATTTAACAAAATCAATAAATAATCTAATATTGTAAGATAGAGCCAATATTTTATAATTTAAAAAAAATCAATAAATAATCTAATATTGTAAGATAGCGTAAATATTTTATAATTTAACAAAATCAATAAATAATCTTAACAAAATCAATAAATAATCTAATATTGTAAGATAGCGTAAATATTTTATAATTTAACAAAATCAATAAATAATCTAATATTGTAAGATAGAGCCAATATTTTATAATTTAACAAAATCAATAAGAAAATATAATATTGTAAGATAGAGGCAATATTTTATAATTTAACAAAATTAATAAATAATCTAATATTGTAAGATAGCGTAAATATTTTATAATTTAACAAAATCAATAAATAGTCTAATATTGTAAGATAGAGCCACTATTTTATAATTTAACAAAATCAATAAATAATATAATATAGTAAGATAGAGGCAATATTTTATAATTAAAAAAAATCATTAAATAATCTTTTATTGTAAGATAGAGTCAATATTTTATAAGTTTAGAAAATCAATAAATAATCTAATATTGTAAGATAGTGCCCTTCTTTTATACGTTTACAAAATCTATATATAATCTGATGTTGTAAGATAGAGCCTTTTTTATAACGTAATAAATTAAATAAGCAATCAAACATTGTATAATAGACGCCATTATTTTATGATTTTACAAAATCAATGAATAATCTAACATGGACGCTATTATTTTATAATTTTACATTTTCTACTTTAAAATGTTGCTAGGAAATGCCAACTTTTCATTTAGCCTAAATTCAATAGTTATATGCATAGTTTTTTATCAAAACGATATTTTGATTGTAGGAAAAAAAGTCACAGGAAAAAAATTGGAAAAATAAAAAAAAAACAGAAAAAAGTTGCAGGAAAAAATGTCACAAGAAAAAAGTCACAAGAAAAAAGTCACAAATATATATTTGCATGTAATTTGTTAATACTTTTATATACTAATATTCAGAGAGTGCAAATTAACTTAAGATTAAGTAAATGTAATGTAATGTGTGTAGGTTTTATACGCATGGTAATTTTTTATAATTCATCTGAAAATATTTAGTAAGAAGTTTTTAGATTGTAATTATGTTAAACATAATATTAATAGCATTTAATAGAATGTTCCAACGTCCTCTGTTTTCATCACCAACATTAATTTACCATGACATGGTAAGTTCATCTGACTTGCTGCCCTCAACTCATTGCAACAATAGTTATGTTTAGTTCAACCACCTTTACTGCCCTCATTTATCACGCTCATTACATAACAAAGCATGGGATCAAAACAGAAAGCCGATAAGGTTCAAAGGCTGACAATATATTCGGACAAGACCGACTGAGGAGAAGCCGACCAGAGAAAAGCCTGTGGCAAAACATATGCAAAACACAATGATGTGCCTAAATTTCTTTTATAATTAACTTTTATACCGCGTATTTAACTAAATACGTAACAAAAGTTGAGATTGCTGTGTAAATTATCTTAGAGTATGTTTACTTACAATTGTTATAAACTATATTGCTTTTAACTTCTATAAAAAAATATACTATCATAAACACAACTCACAATAATTAACATACAAAATTTTACTATTCTAAACAAATAAATCAAATTATTTCGGAACAGATTTTTGTGACTTTTTTTCTGTGACTATTTTTCCGATAAAATTTTTCCATTGTGACTTTTTTTCTGTGACTTTTTTACCTAGCATAAACTGTGACTTTTTTCTCTGTGTTTTTTTTTCCTGTGGCTTTTTATCCGTTCACCGTTTTTTGCTTATCGAAACACAACACAGGCGCACTGTGAGTCTCTCGGAGGCACTCTAGCAAGCGTCATCACACAAACACAATTCGATCAATTGTGTAGCAAGCTTGATGTCACCGGTAAGATTTTTTAAAACCTTTTGCAAACATGCGATAACTGAATTAAATGAAGTGTTTTTAAATATGGTGACCGGGAACAAGCGCAACGGAAAACTGCGCAACGGAATACTGCGCACGAAATAGTGCACAAGGACATTTTTATTTTCTTAAATCGAGCATTTGTAGACATAAACAAAGAATGTCCATATGTACATGTAGCTTAGACAAAGACGTGTTTACGAAATATGAATAAATAAAAGTGTATTAGCATAATTAGTTTGCATTTGAGTATTGTTTTGTGTTTCTGAAGATTTCTGTTGCGAAGTTTTTCGTTTGCGCATTAATTACTAAAATATGAATGCACAAAGAAAAAACAACACATCCATAACTACAATGAGGTTGTAAGCGTAAGCGTAAGCGTAAGCGTAAGCGTAAGCGTAAGCGTAAGCGTAAGCGTAAGAGTAAGCGTAAGCGTAAGCGTAAGCGTAAGCGTAAGCGTAAGCGTAAGCGTAAGCGTAAGCGTAAGCGTAAGCGTAAGCGTAAGCGTAAGCGTAAGCGTAAGCGTCAGCCTAAGCGTCAGCCTAAGCGTAAGCCTAAGCCTAAGCGTAAGCCTAAGCCTAAGCCTAAGCCTAAGCCTAAGCCTAAGCCTAAGCCTAAGCCTAAGCCTAAGCCTAAGCCTAAGCCTAAGCCTAAGCCTAAGCTTAAGCCTAAGCCTAAGCCTAAGCCTAAGCCTAAGCCTAAGCCTAAGCCTAAGCCTAAGCCTAAGCCTAAGCCTAAGCCTAAGCCTAAGCCTAAGCCTAAGCCTAAGCCTAAGCCTAAGCCTAAGCCTAAGCCTAAGCCTAAGCCTAAGCCTAAGCCTAAGCCTAAGCCTAAGCCTAAGCCTAAGCCTAAGCCTAAGCCTAAGCCTAAGCCTAAGCCTAAGCCTAAGCCTAAGCCTAAGCCTAAGCCTAAGCCTAAGCCTAAGCCTAAGCCTAAGCCTAAGCCTAAGCCTAAGCCTAAGCCTAAGCCTAAGCCTAAGCCTAAGCCTAAGCCTAAGCCTAAGCCTAAGCCTAAGCCTAAGCCTAAGCCTAAGCCTAAGCCTAAGCCTAAGCCTAAGCCTAAGCCTAAGCCTAAGCCTAAGCCTAAGCCTAAGCCTAAGCCTAAGCCTAAGCCTAAGCCTAAGCCTAAGCCTAAGCCTAAGCCTAAGCCTAAGCCTAAGCCTAAGCCTAAGCCTAAGCCTAAGCCTAAGCCTAAGCCTAAGCCTAAGCCTAAGCCTAAGCGGTAGCGGTAGCGGTAGCGGTAGCGGTAGCGGTAGCGGTAGCGGTAGCGGTAGCGGTAGCGAAAGTGTAAGCGTAAGTGTAAGCGTAATCATAAGCATAAGCATAAGGGTAAGGGTAAGCGTAAGCTTACGTGTAAGTAAACATGCACATGCACATGTACATGCACGTGTACGAGTGCGTATGCGTGTGTGTGCCTGTACGTGTACGTGTACGTGGACGTGTGCGTGTGCATGTGCGTGTACGTGTGCGTGTACGTGTACGTGTACCTACGTGCAATTGCAAGTGTAAGTGTAAGCGTAAGTGTAAGTGTACATATTTCTACAAGGAATAAAACATCAATTGAAATATTTGCCTCCCAGAGTCCTATTGGATTGGTGCCAACGACTTGGACAAGGATAAAATGTTAGTGTGGGTTGCGGATGGTAGCGACGCCAGCAATATAACAACAAGCAGCTGGAACCACATCATCACACTCTCAAACGACAAAGCCACCTGTATTGTTCTACGCATCGAATATCAGATGTTTGTGTCATCTCCTTGCACCAACGCATTTTATTTTCTGTGTATGGAAACCGGTACATTTTCAGCAGTTGTGTGTATTCACATTTTAACACAGTGCAATTATATGTTAAATTTGTTTCAATAAATTTAATCCAAAAGACAGGTAAGAATAGTGCCTAGTTTTTTTAGCAGAGTACGGAAATAGCTGTTCCTCGATAACTCACCAGCTTAGTAAATGATTAGACTATTTTATTGATGTTTGCGTGTTTAAATATTTAGTCAACCAATAGTCAGGTATTTATATTTTGTTACATGATCACTTCCTTTTGTAATTTAATGTCTTTGCGACTATTTTAGATTCGAAGACTACTACAGCTACAACCAATGAGCCTACAACCAATGAGCCTACAACCAATGAGCCTACAACCAATGAGCCTACAACCAATTAGCCTACAACCAATGAGCCTACAACCAATTAGCCTACAACCAATGAGCCTACAACCAATGAGCCTACAACCAATGAGCCTACAACCAATGAGCCTACAACCAATGAGCCTACAACCAATGAGCCTACAACCAATGAGCCTACAACCAATGAGCCTACAACCAATGAGCCTACAGCTACTGCGACAACAGCCAATGAGCCTACAGTCACTACACATACACAAGCTGAGATCCTCACCACCATAGTCAACAAATGCGCAACGCAAGGCATCGTTACAACGACAGATAAATCTGCAGTGACCGAGGCTATCAATTTTTGGATTATCTCCCTTTTGGTCGCTCTCTTCCTCTCCACCTGAAAATCATTACATTTTCTTTGAAAGAAAACCTCTATTCGTCAATAGAGCACACCTATAGACGTTATACTTGTTATGTTGCTATACTGTTGTCACATATTTTATCAACATTGTATTATAAAGATCGCATAAATATGTAAAACAAATATACACTTAAATTTGAATGTTGTTTCTTTTTAATGTATGACTTGCTATGATTATCCACGATTCACAAACCCACGCTATGGTTAAACGTGGCACAAACACAAATAATATTGAACATAAGTATAACACGATGTCCACGTGTATTGCTTATATTAAATATATATATATATATATATATATATATATATATATATATATATATATATATATATATATATATATATATATATATATATATATATGTGTGTCACTATGTCATTTCAACCGTTTGACTAGCGAAATGCTCACAATACTACGTTAAAAAATTCTCTATCAAGTCCTAACTGTGAAAGTAAATTGTGAATATCACAACCAACTTACATCACCTTTAAAATATAATGCATTCAGTAGCTAGCCATATGCAGGGGCGGAACTACAGTGCCGCCAGACCCCGCAATGCGGGGGGGCCCATGCCATTTAGGGGCCCGCAGCCAACAATAATATATTTTTTAAAGTTACTTTTTAAAAATTTTCGAGCATTTTTTCTAGCATTTTTTGACCCGATGGTTGTTTTGTAAAAAAGATTACCGTAGCTGCGGTTGGGTTATCTTTATTCTATAGACACCACCCCACGCTGTTGTATATTCGTTTTCCCTTTATTTTTAACCACTGTGAAAACCGAGTCCTCTTTCTCCTACAATCAAACTTATCAAGGATAAGCAAACGTTCAAACAACTTCCATGACTTATTTCCCTTTTTTAAATAGTCAAATAGGGGTGCTCATAAGCTCCTTTTAATAGATTTGCACTAAACATATTATTATTATTTTTTATAGAGTATTTACTAAAGAATGACATTGTATAGAAAGGAAATGTATTTAAAATTAATAATATAAATACAAAAAACATAAAAATAAACATAACACGAGAAACCATTTACTTATACAAATCTTTCATGGTTTATATTCTTTTGACAGACCAAAGGTTAAGATGTTTTATAGCAAAATTAAATAAAACCGATTTTCATAAAACACACTAATGACACCACATTTGGTCGGCTAGCCCTTTTTAGGGCTGGCTGCCGGGGTTGAGAAGTTGGTCATCGACGCATCGAATGCAAAAGATCGTGTGGTGTTGCGCCCACACATCCCTCGAATGCATCAGCTCTCGAGAAAAGTCACCTGGTACTTGTACTATGGTGGCTTCAATGTACGAGTGGCTAAAAACAGGGGTCGGCAACCTGCGGCTCGCGAGCCGCATGCGGCTCTTTTGTTATCAACATGCGGCTCTCCAGCTCCTTGAACAAATACTAATAATCTTAATAAAAAAAAATATATTTGAAATTAAAAAAAATGTTAGTGGCTCTTTAAAACCAGGGAAATTTTGAAAATTGTAACTTTTGGCTCTTCCGCTTCAAAAGGTTGCCGACCACTGGCTAAAAATCAATTCTTTTCAGCTTGACGACGCCTAACTAGGAGCAATCTTAGGTAGGATGATCCGTCTCGACAACATTGAACCTAAACTCAAAGCTCTATAGGAATTAATAGAAGAAATGAAAAATTAAAAGAGAAAATAAAGAAGCAAAAACACTGAATAATTATCATTAAATTTTTTTTTAAAAACCACGTTTTCTGATTGAACTATACAGTAGAAAATAAATGCTATACATCACAATAATGCAAGCGATCACTCTACTATAAGCGATAAAAAACTATAAGCGATTTAAAACCTGAGAAATTTTGAAAATTGTAATTTTTGGCTCTTCCGTCTTAAAAGGTTGCCGACCCCTGACTTACACAATGACATGATGTAAAAAAAAATTAAAATTAAAACCCGAATAGGCCAGCAATGAGAATCCAATGTTCGTATTTTGTGTTCGTATATATATATATATATATATATATATATATATATATATATATATATATATATATATATATATATATATATATATATATATATATATATATATATATATATATATGTAACTCATATGGTTACCAGCCAAGGGGGGAAGAATGAAGTTTTAATTCATTGGGTTGCGGCCCCTTTTTTTTTCATGCTCTTGTGAACGATGTTACCTGTGTCCCTTGTCATGTGACATGGGACTGTGGGTAGTTTTGTGCCAGCCGTGTCAGTCACACGCAAGGCTGCTGTCTGTGGACACGGTGACGGTACCAAGATGTAGACCTAATGAAGATTTTTCTCTCTGTTTTGAAATCGTCGTACTACTGTGTTATTCATCGCCGTCACTGCTCGATGCAGTGAATAAAGCCAGTACTTGACGGTGTCAGTGTGTTCTAAACCTCAGGGTCAGCCCGTCTTAACCACAACACCTCAGTGGGTAAAATCATCCCAACTGAGTGAGGATTACATTTGGCGCCCAACGTGGGGCTCGACCTTGGGAGGTAGGAATGGAGAGCAGCGATCCGACGTTGGAGAAGTTGTCGCAGGAGTTGGCCGAACTGACGGCTAAGATGGCGGCGATACAGGCTAATGCGCAGCGGCCCGTGACGGTGGAGGTGTGCATGTCAACACATAATTGGCTGAACCTGTTCACCGGCCTTCCACCGACTGGAGGAGGGGAGATGAGTTTCCCGGACTGGGAAACCCAAGTGCAATGTTTGCTGCGGAACACCAGCGCTCCGAACCCGTTGCCACGCATCTTAGGCAGCCTGAGAGGGATTGCCTATGAGCGGGTAAAGCAGGCTGCGAGTCCAGAGAAAGTGCTAAGCCTACTACAAAGCACTTTTGGCGACACCCGATGTGCCGACGACCGGTATCTGCAGTTCAGCCGACTCACTCCACATCCAAGAGAGTCAGCGTCGGAATTTCTCTGCCGACTGTGGTCAGAGATGACGAAGCTAAACCAGCAGCGTATCTTTACTGAGGCCGATGCCCAGAAGAAGGTGTATCACACTTTCTGCAAGGGGGTTTCACCTCTTCTGGCGCTCGAACTTCGCGGCACATTTTGTTTCGCAGGGGAAGCCAGCCCGAAGGTGGAGGACGTCCTGAAAGCTGTTAAAAGGCTGGACGGGACAACTGAGTCCCCAGTCATAGCCGTGGCAGCAGCTAACAGGACTATCCAGGTTGACGCAGTAACGGCAGCTGTTCGCCAGGAGACGAAGCCGCTGATGCTCACGGAGGAACAACTCGACCGTCTGGCGGAGAAGGTCGACGCAGTAACGGTAGCTGGTCGCCAGGAGACGACGCCGCTGATGCTCACGGAGGAACAACTTTACCGTCTGGCGGAGAAGGTGGCATATATCCTAGCCCGGAAACAACGGCCCTCCAGAGGAGCTTGTTACGGGTGCGTGTCCACGAAGCACTTCGTCCGCGACTGTCCGAGGAAAGCAGCTAGGCAACGGGGTCAGCAGCAGGGAAACGCCAGTCCATCAGCGTCGGGGAGCGGATGCTGATGCGTGGTCTGCCAAGCTCCCAGCCCAAGTTTACACCACCGAGATCAACACAGTGTCGAGCAACTACAGCTCAGATTACACTTGTCGCGGCGGGTGAAGATCGTCTTACATTTACCAGCAAAATGCAACGTATTCGGACACTCAATTAATGGTTAAACTAACTGCTGATTCTATTTAAGGCTTTGGAATCATTTTTCAACAGCTTTTATTTGACACTAAACAAATACAATTATCCATTCATAAGTCTTATTTAATACAAAATGAAATGCAGGTCAACAGGAGGTACGGCTGTCGGGTGTTTCGCCGTGGAGGAGGGTTGCAGCCGGAGGGTGCGCGTGAGGAGGGTAGACAGCCACACCATGAATGTCAGTCTCAGCGCGAGCAAGACCGTCGCTTGGGAGACAGACATGACACAAGCAGAGGTCGGAGACACCGCTGGAGGAGAGGCCGACGACGTGGTGGACGCCGCAGTGGTTGGCAGCGACCCGACTATACTATGTCGAGTTCAGAACTGACTGTGGCGGAGGGGGGGCGACGGAGAGAGATCATCCCAACCAGTGAGGCAGATGAAGGTGAGGAACTGACAATCAAGGTAGTGGTCCCAACCAGACTTCGGCCGGAGGCAACGCCTTTCGTGCCAGAGGTGGTCGCCCGGGACGGACAAGACAAGGTGATGGTCAGGCCAGCCCCACATCTGGATGAGGTGAATGCGAGGGACGAGGCATCGGAAGAGGATGACTCTTTGATCAACCCAGAACCACCAGCGGAGCTGCGGAGGTCAACCCGTCAACGACGACCCGTCGAGCGACTCAACCTGGCGCATCAAGTGGTGACCAGTACCAGCACTGGAGCCTCTACCGGTTTGCCGGGAATAATATCTTTTGAGTTGATAGGACTTAATGTCTGTGAACTACTGTACTGAATTTGTTTAAAAACAATTATTTATGAGCTGTAAATGTAAATTCCATTTTAAATTTAGTTGTGAGGGGGGCTGTGTAACACATATGGTTACCAGCCAAGGGGGGGGGGGGGGTGGAGAATGAAGTTTAAATTCATTGGGTTGCGGCCCTTGTGGGACCGCAACTGAACTGTTGATGTAGTTTTTTTTCATGCTCTTGTGAGCGATGTTACCTGTGTCCCATGTCACATGTGGGTAGTTTCGTGCCTAGCCGTGTCAGTCACACGCAAGGCTGCTGTCTGTGGACACGGTGACGGTACCAAGATGTAGATCTAATGAAGTTTTTTCTCTCTGTTTTGAAATCGTCGTACTACTGTGTTCTGCATTGCCACTATAGCTCGATGCAGTTAATAAAGCCAGTAATTGACAACAACTGTCGGTGTCAGTGTGTTCTGAATCTCAGGGTCAGCGTATTAAGTCACCTTTTAAAAACGATTTTGTCTAAATATAATAATAAAGTAAGATTGTTTGGTTTAGGGTTAGGGTTATCATAACATTACAAACGTAATAATACAAAGACTGATCATTTTGTTTAACTACAACCTATGTAATAGATTCAAGAAGACGTGCGACTCGTAGTAATTATCTATCACCCGTAGGGATAATCTTCTGCGGGTTATATTAATTTCCTTCTGCGCTATCTGGTTGTGGGGGTTCTGTGTCTGTAGGTTCTGTTCCTGTAGGTCCTGTTTTAGGTTCTGCGGCTGTAGGTCCTGTTGTTCCAGGTCCTGTGGCTGTAGGTCCTGTTGTTCCAGGTCCTGTGGCTGTAGGTCCTGTTGTTCCAGGTCCTGTTGCTGTAGGTCCTGTTGTTCCAGGTCCTGTGGCTGTAGGTCCTGTTGTTCCAGGTCCTGTGGCTGTAGGTCCTGTTGTTCCAGGTCCTGTGGCTGTAGGTCCTGTTGTTCCAGGTCCTGTGGCTGTAGGTCCTGTTGTTCCAGCTCCTGTGGCTGTAGGTCCTGTTGTTCCAGGTCCTGTGGCTGTAGGTCCTGTTGTTCCAGGTCCTGTGGCTGTAGGTCCTGTTGTTCCAGGTCCTGTGGCTGTAGGTCCTGTTGTTCCAGCTCCTGTGGCTGTAGGTCCTGTTGTTCCAGGTCCTGTGGCTGTAGGTCCTGTTGTTCCAGCTCCTGTGGCTGTAGGTCCTGTTGTTCCAGGTCCTGTGGCTGTAGGTCCTGTTGTTACAGGTTCTGTGGCTGTAGGTCTTGTTGTTGCAGGTCCTGTGGTTAAAACATTTGCAGTGGTCTTTTCTGTGGTAATTGTTCCGCTGGTCGTAGCTTTTATATTTGATGTTCCTAAGGTATGTAATTGAAAACAAAGCCATTTTTCAATGCAAACTATAGTGTCTACCTGACTAATAAAAACTGATTAAATATAAAAGCATTTACAAATGTAATTCGTCATTAATCATTAACATATTGTTACATATTGTTACATTTTTTTTTGCACGATTACAAGACTTTCTCTATACTTCGTATATACAAGAAGGTAAAAAGGACTTTGAACAAAATCCAACTTACGCGACTCCGTACACAACACCTGATGTTTGTTGGTGCAGTTTTCATCAGTTACAGATGCGTCATAGACACTCAGAAGGGCACAGTTACTACTGCTATCGTGATGTGGGTAACCGTCCTCCCACCAATTGTTCAATGGTAACTGGACGGCATTGCTATTGTCATAGACCCACACGAATGTTCCTTCTGTAGTTTTATCGTTGGCGCCGATCCAATAATAGCCTGCAAGATTGGATAGAAACTTCTGAAAGATTCCTGGTATTAATAAGCTACATAGACGAGCAATCTTGACATGCCACGATAAGATGCGAAAAGTGATACAGGATAGTTTGTTTTATTCAAATGAAATTATTGTTTCATTCTCAACCTTTATTAAAAGAATTAACCTCACAATCATGATTTTTTGGGTAGCAATAATGTTTATTTTTATAATTAAAAAAAACCAAGGTATTAGATTACATGTTAGACATAACATGTTGTTTACTGTTGTATGTCGAGATCGTAAGTTCCCATTTTCTGTTTGGAAAATTCGCAGAAAGCGAAATTGCGGTGGTTTAAAGGACTAGTAAAAGCTATTGGCACTATTGTTGCACTCTAAATATTGGGGTGCTGGTTGGTTTAAAACCGGATTAGTTAATATAACAAGCTCATCGCTAGGTGCGTGAGATAACTAACTATGCACAGTGATCTCGCATATTCGGTAAATTATATAGTAGACTCTATGCCACAGCCGGAGATAATAAAAATGCCTTTTTTAAAGGATTTCTTGCATGCAGAAAATAAATTAGAAAAAAAAACGCATTTAACAATATTAATTATACCGCCAAGTCATGACGCCAGAGAAGAGATAACAATAAACTAGTGGGAACGGCGTGTCCGAGTGGTAGAGAGCTAGACTGCTAATCGGGTTCGAATCCGGTTTCAAATCAATAGAATGTCCTGGAGTCCATCCAGCTCTGATGGGTACCTAACTTAAGTTGGGGAAACAAGGCATTTGTGCAAAGTGCTGACCACACTGTCCCTTCATACGCCAAGGTCGCTGAAGGAGATGAACTCTACTTCATCTGCCCCATGTGTCTTGAGCACGAATGGGAAATGATGATAAAAAAACAATACATACCGCAATAACTAAACAACGCTGTTACACCATCAAACTGTGTTTTTGATGAAATAGTAGCTAGGGTACCACCAAAATTTTGGCATACCACCTAATTTTTAAAAAATAAAATATTAAAGATGTATTTCAATTCAATGCAAATTACTCAAGATTTTTTACTAATAATTATTACTATATGAGTGTAAGTTAAAATCGAGCTTTTGTAGGAAATCAAGAGTTTCACTAACAATGTATTAAAACTACAATTTGTTTTTTTTAAGACTGGTACAATTTCAAACAAGAAATAGGCGTAATGTGACCTACAAGTGCATCATTCCACGACAGATCTACTTCCACAGCCAGGAAACATCGACCATCAATTGATTTTGAGTGTGTCCAGAGGCATTTACCTGAAAAATATTATGTATCAATATAATTCCGCTATTAAGTATTGTGATGTAGATGTCTATATAAAAAATGAGTAGGCACGGAGAATGTGTGTGTGAGAGTGGCCTACCCTTGAAAGTAGTGTGCTGACGTGAAAACAAGTGTGTGAAAAAAGCGGTGTGTGAAGCAATGTGGTGTGGTGTCAATAGTGTACCTACTCGTCCGTCTTCTTATTGCCATGGTTCTTGTTGTTGGTGAAAATTATCAGTAAATTATACAGATTCTCTTTATGGACTGTGTTTATTTACAATTGTTACACTTGGCTCCAACGAGCCCAAAATACATGAGAAGCCGATTGTAACAGTACACATTAGACCAGCGGCGTAGTTAGGTCAGGTGTCACCCGGTGCGGTACTTAATGGTGTTACCCCCAGAGGCGTAGCGACCCGTCCCGGGGACAAACTTTCAATTTTCGATTTGCACCCCCTCCCCTTCAAACTTTCGATTTGCACCCTCTCTCAAATTTTTCTCTATATATTATGCTATTTTTTGCCTTGGTGTCACCCCCCTAAATGGTGTCACCCGGTGCGGTCCGCACCCCCGCCCCCCCTCTCGCTACGCCTCTGCATTAGACGTACATATTAAAGATGTCACTAACGGTATTGTTCTGACCTTTACTTGCGAGTAATATCTAAGTTTTATAGCCGCTGTTTATTATTTGTAAAAATATTTTAGTTTTATGACAATTTCGAATTGTATTTGAAACATTTGATTTTAAGCCATTGATTTTATGTATGAAAAACGATCGCCTAAAGTGGTTATCTCATTGTTACCTGGAGTAAATTGAAACTGTTTTCAGAATGATACCATTGATATGTAATGGCACTTTTAGTCTAACTTAAGCTTTGGTGAACCATAATAGAAGTTACAACTCACCAGAAAACACACCAAAGATGTGTACAGCAATCATTGTATACACGAACAAACTTAGTTTTACTGTAGCCATTTTGCGATAAAAAGTCTGTAGTTATGAGAATAAAGTGTATGTAGATAGTAATAATAGTAAGCAATAATCTTTAAATAGTAATGATAAGTACTTTACGTTAAAATAGTAATGATAAGTACGTTACGATAAAATATTAATGATAATTTACACATTTTAATCAAGCCTGCATTGTTTTAGAACCGCAGTAATATGATAATTTCCGACCCAAAGCTACTTTGTGATTTGGTCTAACTTTTGTAATACATCTAGTTTTTCCTGATACATACCAATTGTATTCTACTTTACTTGAACCTCTTCTTCTTCTTCTTCTTCGTTCTTAATTATTAGTGTTGAAGGGGATCGAGATTTATCTGCCAGTGGGTTTGAACTCGAATTTATCAACCATGAGCTTTTTGCCGACTCGACTACGCCTCCAACACAATTAAGCGTTACGTGTCAACTGGTTATGCGCCATTGAGGCCATTGACTTCGATTTCAGCCTCCTTTTCTTTTTGGATTTGCTTCCATAGCCTTTGTCCAACCAAGAACAAACTACAAGGCAGCAGTTGTTTAATTTTGGAGTTGTCTCTCCTAGAAGAGTGGCTGTCCCCAGCTAACGAGCCTCATCTGCCCGAGGGTTCGAACTCGAGACTTTTCGGTTTAGCAACCATGAGCTTTACCGACTCGACCACGCCGACCCCTTACTTGAACCTGTTCTGCCTAAATATTCTCCATTCTACTCCACCCTACCCTGCTGTACCCTAATCTACCCAACTATTTAGGTAGGGTAATAGTGTTGTGTGTGGAATAGTATGTAAATATCAAGGGTATTAGTGTGTGTTGTGCTAGTTTAAGTGAATGTCATATATATATATATATATATATATATATATATATATATATATATATATATATATATATATATATATATATATATGGTTTATTAACATAACTACTAGAATAAAAGGTAGAAATGTGCTGGCGTACCTTACCTTCGCGTCTAAGAAGCCACTGCACTAAAGTTTTAATCTTCCTGATCGGTGCTATTTATACACACATGTGTATTACACCCATAGCAACAAGGGAAGTAATGTTGTTTACTGTGAACGTAAATATTTACCCGTCACTTAGTAACACGTATCTCTTGTCATGGCGGATGAAGATCGTCTTACATGTACCAGCAAAATGTAACGTATTCGGGTCTACAATTTTTGGTTAAACTAACTGCTCATTCTATGTAAGGCTTTGGAATAATTCTTCAACATCTTTTGTTCGACCTCAAGAAATAAAATTACCCTTTTATAAGTCTTATTTAAAATGTAATAAAACAATAAAATGCTGATCAACAAGATTCAGTTCTCTAATTTTTGCTGCGATTTCCATTAGATCTTCATCTATTACAATATACAAACAATATATAGGGCCTATATTTATAAACAATATATATATATATATATATATATATATATATATATATATATATATATATATATATATATATATATATATATATATATATATATATATACATATATATAAACACATCCAAGCATATACACACATATATAATCCATTGTCAATACCTGTGTTATTTCTACGCCGACATCTACTAATACGCCTTTTTCTATACCAGAGCCTATGAATGTGCCTTGTGCCTGTCACTGCCTTTGATTTTACCTAAGCATATGCATAAGCCACTGATTATTACTTTGCCTATTCTGAATAATATGCGTACGAATATGATTATCTACCACAATGCTTATGCATATTTACGTATCAAAGGAATATTTTTCAGTGTTTAGTTTTTATTACACAGGACATTGTCAGTTATATGACGATACAGGATTCAACGCTAACACTATAGCTTGACTTAGAAACATGAGCCACTAGATAAACCTAGTTCAGTTTGAAAAAAAAAGAGCGTATTTGTGTAATTTGCATTTCAAGTTTCTTTAAACGTATATTGATTAAAAATAGATTTGGCTTCGTTTGAATACATTATTTTTTTAGGACAGACAACGATTTAAATAACTTTGGATTTCAAAAAGCGAAATTTTGTAACGTTCTTCAAATACTGTGTTGAATCACGTATTTCATTTAGAGAAGTTTGGACAGACTTTTGTTACTAGCATAGCAATATTGACAAAGAGTGTTATGAACAAAACAATAAAGTCCTAAAAAGACATGGTAGTTTTAGCCAGCTGTACATAAAACATTAAAATTGTGTAGGCCTATAACAAATGCATTTACTGTGTACTTTACAAATTGTTGTACATATGACTTTAATAGTTTTACGACATTTTTACTTTCTCTTATATACGAAGTAAAAAAAATCAAGATTTTTGCAAATCTCGACGTTTTACACCTCACTGATAAGGAAAAACATAATTTTGCAAATCTTGTCCGTATGTCTGTGTGTATGTGTGTGGGTATCTGTGTGTGTATCTGTGTGTCTGTAATCGTGATAACTTGAGTACCGTTAGAGCTAGGTTGATGAAAAGTATTTTATCACAATCGTAGATCCTTATCAACTTTTGAGCGATTTCTGATAAACGGAAGTGGTACTTTTTTATCTTTGAATTTTTCAAAAGCCTATTACTTGAGTACTATTTAAGATATATAAAAAATGTTACAAGTAAGTAAACAATCTAACTTTCTACTTTCCGATTTCTAATTTCCGATTTCTCAAAAAAACGAATGTAAATTTATAAAATACTAATAATATCCCGCTCTATTATGCACATTTTATTTGGCGTTCACTAGTGTGCAATTCTTTTTTCTACGATGTTTTATTCTATTTTAAAAGTTTTAGTATTTAAAATTAGTAGTATTTAAAATGGATTATAATTCATTTCTATATCCCGAGTTCCCATCCCCTGTTTTTTTTAATTTAAGAATATTCGAGAAAGTTTAGGGGAGATCACTCCCGGTTAATTAATTTAAAAATACAATGTGTGACGTCATAGGAGGTAATTATTTTAAAGAACCCACTATATATGCCTTTATCCTTATACTCTAAATGCCGTAAACTCTTTTAGTTCTAGAATAGTTATATTCGCAGTGCGTTCAACGTTTTTTTTGTGTGTGGCTATGTCAAACTAAAAGAACCAATAAGAACCATTTTGAGTAACCTCTTTACAGAACCATTAGGTAAAACCCATTGTCACGACCACCGGGTAGAACCACTATGTAATACTATTTTGTGGAACCAGCAGCCATAACAGAATCACAATTTAAAACCTTCTGGTACAATTTGGCACAATTACTTGCTACAACTACTTGGTTCAACTAATGGATATACCCATTTGATCTAACCACTGTAAAGAACCTCTTGGTGTAACCATTTAATAGATCAACTGCATAGAACCACCCGGTAAAACCGTAAAATAGAACCAATAACTCCTGGTAGAAAAACTTGCTGTAACTATCTTTAGATCCACTTGATCTAAGTATATGATACAAGCACTTGGTGTAACCACTTAGAAAATAATTATACACTTTTTTCATTTATTGAACTCGGATACGTTTTCTTCAAACGAGTAAGTTAAATCAATATTAAATGAATGTTGGCATCAATGCTTTGTACATTCTGCCATGTAAGAATCCCCCACCCCGGCCCTCCTATAATGGCAACCCTGTTTGAACCACTAGTATTTCTAACAACATTTCTGTATTTCTCCTCAGTTTCTCGATACTGACTAGTGCAAAGAAAAATCTGAACCCTAATGTTGGAACAGGTTTTGATAAAAGAATGTATTTGACATACAGAGACACATAGAGCTGTCAGATGCGTAGCGACCCTTCCCGGCGCCCGGGGACAAACTTTTCGATTTGCACCCCCACCCTCAAGATTTCGCTTTGCACCCCCCTCAAACTTTCGATTTGCACCCCCCCCTCAAGATTTCGATTTGCACCCCTCCCCTCAACCTTTCAATTTATTTTTCCAACCCATTTTGGCGCCCCCTAAGGTCGGCGCCCGGGACATATGTCCCCCCGCCCCCCTCCTCGCTACGCTACTGAGAGATGTATTACTTGCCATACTCAATCATTCAACAGAACAATACTTCACTCAGCGGTTAGGATAAAAATGCTTGAATTGCATATTGTCGGCCATGGTGTTTGAGATATGACATGTTCAGTATCCTAAAAGGGGACATTACCACAATGTATCATGAAAGGTAATTCCATATATAGTCGCGTTCTATAATGTCATGTTATGCGATACTACAATGAGGACCTTTTGGGGGAGGGAGGGGGTTACGTAAACAATCTTAATACGGTTAATATGTAGAGACATTTTTATTTTTGAATAAAATTATTTTTATTATGTTGAAATATGGTCTGTTGAACCCGACGATTTTTTGGCTTCTGGCTTAGTATTTTTGACAAAATCATTCATTTTACTTAGACGACGTATGGCGATTACTTCAAACATAAGTTACGACTACTTAACACAAACAAATGCGAACAACATCCAACGTAAAGTAGTCCATTAAAAGGTAGACTACGAAAAGAAAACTGCCAAACAACAAACTACTACAAATTAGACAATCATAAAATAGACTACCATAATAGGGTCGGAGTAGTCGGTAGAGCTTATGTTTGCTAAATTAAAAAACTCGGTAAAGCTTATGCTTGCAAAAAATAAAAAATTCTTGAGTTCAAACTTTCGGACAGATGAAGCTCTATAGCTGGGGACAGCAACTATTATAAGAGGCAACTCCAAAATCAAACAACTACTGCTTTGAAGTTTGTTCTTGTTTCGACAAAGGCTACGAAAGCAAATCCAAAAAGAAAAGCAAGCTGAAATTGGATTCAAAGGTCTTAATGTCGCATAACCAGTTGACACATATACTTATTTGTGTTGGAGGGAATCCCTTCCAACACTAATTTAAGAACGAAGAAAAAAAAATGAGGAAAGACAATCATAAGACCATTCTAAAGTACAAACACTATAGTAGAATCTATATAATCCTCTTTATGGGCAAGACGATGCAAGCCGACTATCTAACACTCCTCCAGACCACTCTCTCGCTCTCCAGGCATGCGCAACAGACCATTTCGCTACACCGCACCCCAACCAGTATGGTGAGCTGTGGTTTACCTCGAATGTTTACAATCGTAGAGCCTGGTCGAATAAGGGGCAGATAATTTAGCTTTTAAACGATTTGAAACTAATGAGAGGTAAGAAGTTTTTCTTTTGATTGTCGTCTGTAAACTTTCGTCACGTAAACTGTAAACTGCTTTCACGTGGGTGGCGGGCGGGGGGGGGGGGGGAAGTCTCGAATTCACAAACTATGCATTATTGTAAAGTCGAAAATAAAACAGGTAAATAGCGGCGTATGCTTACGGCGCGGGTCAGCTCGCTGTATGTGCTAATCTTCATGATGTGTTTACAAGCTAGCGTTTATCAGGAATAAAGTAGAATCAGAACAATCTATTTTCAAAAAGTAATCAGTTCATTGTGTTTTCTTTCACTCTCAAAAGCCACCACATAGTTATTTAGTTTGATTAATTGTGTTTACTTATATATTTTTCAGGGAAATTCAGTCAACACATATATTGATCAAAAATAGTAAAAAATACAATTTTTTTTTTTTTTAACGATTTTACATAGATTTACTTTCCAATGATAGGCACGTTGAAAATTAAGGATAATAGCTCTTCATTAGCAAAAATGTATTTTTGCTAGTCATTGGACGAAAAAAAATGTTAGTGTTGTTTACCATTACAAAAATTAAATTAACATTTAATTCAGAAATGAAAGTTAGTACATCATTTTTAAAGTAGTTGAAGCCCACAGAAAAGCGTCTTATGAAATTTATTTGAGAACATTAATTTTGAAAATTGCTAGCACTACTTTAAAGAAGTTTAAAAACTTAAATATAATATTAAAATAAAATTCTTAATTAAATTTGCCGTATAGACGTTTAGCAGAGGATCAAACACGTGTGTCCATTAGAGCTGGGTCTGAGCATCAAAGGTTGAGTGTGTTTATGATACCATCATTTGAAGTAGCAGAGATGTGACTGCAGGTAGGAGGCTAATAAGTAGAAGACTGGCCATACGTAACACGGCTGTGTTTTCTGTGGAATATAATCGCATGCGGAAGCTGAGTTTTAAAATGTTGAGTATACGACCGCTAACACAGAAATTCTTAACTTAGAGCTAGGGTTCAAGTCCGCAGAAGGTCTATGAGTTTACCCATCTAAGATGTTTAATTGACTCACGATAGGGAAAGTAAAAGCGGATTGGCATTGTGCTTTATAGAAAGAGGTGAACTCTACTTTACCAGCCACATGGACCGCCAAGTTCAATTGGAAACATTTATATTGTTTTTGAATTCCTAATTGTAAGACTGTAGTCAACATTACATTTTTATTTGTGGAATGTACAACAATCATTTATCCATCTTATGTAGTTACAAAACTACAGAAAAATACTTTTTTTTCATAATTGTAAATGTGTGTATGTAATGCGTATTTTTATTGAGTAGACTGAATGTTGTTGTATTCTTTATATCTCACACGTGTAAATAGTAAATATTTTAAATGAAACTACTAGATATAAAATGTCTACTTTAACGGATCTAAAAAAAAAAACACGTTTATTAAAAGTAAACCTACGCGGCTCCATGCATAGAGCGTTATACAAGTTTTCGCATCTGTCGTCTGCTACAGAACCAGCGCCAACAGCGACACAGTTGCTGTTGGCGTTAGTTAGTGGGTGATCAGGTTGCCACCAGCTGTTTGATGTAAACTGGCTGTGGTCCCCCACCCACACAAAGATTCCCTCTCTAGCTTTGTCACTGGCACCGATCCACAATGAACCTGCAAAAATAGGACTTGTGTTTTGGATATGAAATTAAAAGATACATGATTTGACGTTAATATGTGAATACGCAGCGAGGCTGTAAAATGTGACACATATAACTAGCCTTATAGGAATGCAAATCACGTTTAGATTGCACAACAGTGAAATTTAAAAATTGTGCACTACTCTTAATAAAGGTACATTTTATTTCTACGAAACTGAATTTATCAGTATTCTATTTTTATAAAGCGTAATCGAACACATTACTGGTTGTGAACCATCAATAACGACTAAGTCATAGATTACACCACTTTATATGTTGTCATATAACATGATCATCTGTTACAATCAGATTGCTCGTAAATATACCAGTGAGTCTTTGTAACTACTTTGTTTTACATAACAGGATTATATAATGATATTACTTGCAAAATACGCATTTTTCTTGGTAACACTTTTATTTTGTTAATTAGTATCCTGTGTTAAAATCAAATTGCTTGTTAATACACTTGTTTCTACCTTACACTTATATTACTAGTAAAAAATGTTTACATACTTGGATCATGATTAACAATCAGAATGCTTGTAAAATATACGCTTTTCTGCGCAACTCATTATTATGATTAAAACTTCACCCATCGAGGGAGATATTTTTTACTAATAAGTACTTTAATTTGATTCTATAGGGTTTTGATTAAAAAAAGTCATCTAATGATTTCTGTAAACAGAAGCATTTGCTGCTATATGTCATTTTCTTACAGAGCATAATATATATTTTACACTTCTGTGCTAGTTTGTTTTATTTTTTTTTACAAGTATTTACTATTATTTCAGGAATAAAATTGAAACACATAATTTTTTTTAAACAAGAGATAGTTAGGTCAATACTTCTGTTATCTGCTTATACATTATTTAGTGTGTGTCTACATTAAATAGACAAAAATTACCATAATTGTTAAACAATGTTGTCGCGTTATCGAATTGGTTTTGAGTTGAAAGTGTTGCCAGCGTCGCTCCAAAATTACGGCAGACTTGCTGAAATATATTGTATAAAATGGTTATAAACTTTTAAAATATTGATTTGAATCCATCATTTCATACATATTTATAATATGTTTATCGAATTTCCTTTTTCAAACAGTATTAAAAAAAAACTGTGTGCTATAGATGGATGAGCAAACTATATTATCATACTTATTTTTGTGAAACCGAAATGCTTTAATCACTGAGGTCTTCAATTTAAAATAACGTGAAAAGCTTATGATACATACCAGCGCTTCTTTCCATGAAAGATTAACTTCAAGAACGAGGAAACACTTTCCATCTATTAATCTTGATCTGTTCCATTTGCAGGTTACTGTAATAATAGGTTTATCTAATTAAGACATGATAAAATCATCAGCTTAAAAACTGGAGTGTTTGTTTCAACAGTAGTAAAGGAACAAAGCACAGGGGTTATACAGAAAGGAGAGAACATATAGTAAACATAGCAGCAAAATGTATATGTATCATATAAAATATAAACTGTCAAAATTAACTTTATTGATTCAATAACCAGCCTCCTCGTTACAATCCCGTGCTAGTTCCATAAAAACAGAAGTCATAATCTAACTTTCCACTTTTAATTGAAAATTAGGGTTGAAGCTACTTTAAAAAATTTAAAGCTATCGATTCTCCCTCACCTGTTTGAGAAAACACACCATAGATGCAAACAGCAAGAGCTGAAAAAAACATCAAGCTTGATTTTCCTGCAATCATTTTCTGACAGCTGATTGATGCCGTATTTTAAAAGCTGTAACAAGTAATTTCGAATGTTATTTAGCCTGAGCTAAGTATTGTCAATTATCTAGTTAAAATCATACTGAGTACAAAGTCAATTATCTAGTTTATATATATATATATATATATATATATATATATATATATATTTACCTGTACGTACCTTCAATTGCTGGAATGAACGCTTGCCTACCTGGCCTGATATTTTGTAACCCAAATATGTGTTATGACATTAGCATACTTTTGCTATTTTTTTTTAACGTTGAGCCAAGTATAAGCTTAACGTTGTAACATGACATGAAAATATTTACCCGTCTCTAAGCAGCGGGGGTCACATGACATTTCGTACATAGCATAGAGCAATGGTATCCGGCTCAGTGCTGTGATTTTCTGTTAGCGATTTCTCTATACAGCCCGCTTCGTTCGTCTCGATAGTAAACATGAACCTCGGTTGTTAGAAAACAAAGGGGTCCAGTGTCTTAATCACGGTTTCAGAAATCTCACAATCTGGTACGAAAGTAGAAAAAAAATAATTTCAGAGAAAGAATGAAATGCATATCAAGAGAACAGCCTAAAAAGATGTTAAAAATTATATTGTTTTTTTAAGAAACTGGACATTGACCCCAGCAGTTTCCTTCTCATTACACCCGCAGCTACATGACCCTCTATTGCACTGTGCATTACTCCTGTCTAAAAGAATATGCAGTATAACATTTTCCCCCATTTGTATATGGATAAGGATTAAGTTAGGTTAAAGTTATGTTGCAAAAGGATCGTATAAAGATATACAGTGGTATTTCGAAATACGAGTTTTATTCCTTCCGTAACATTGCTCGTATGCCAAATTCTGTGTATATCCTAGCATTCATCTCCATTGAAATTATTTAATCCTCCCAGCTCCTAAAAACCAACCCTAGTTCTTTTTTTACGGTTTTTAAATAAGGAAAATATATTTATACTTGACAAACAGTGTTAATAATGATAATGAAGAAGAAAGCAAAAAATAAAAATGATTAATAAAATGTATTTACCTTAAAAACCAGCCGACTTGAGCTTATGAAAGATGCTGGTGGATCAGTTTAATTCACTATTAATGCTACACTTTACCCAACCCCCTCCAACTTAATGAATCTTATAATTCGTTGAACATAATTTTTCATGTTCTTCTGCTTAGGGTTATTCATGACAACACAATGTATAACGCACGATACACCTGACTAGATAACACTAATGATGATACTAAATAATGCTAAGAAGTTATATATATATATATATATGTATATATATATATAGATATATATATATATATATATATATATATATATATATATATATATATATATATATATATAGATAGATAGATAGATACTTAAGTAATACTAAAATAATTTAATAAAGAAATAAACGTTTTACGACCCAAATAACGATACACAATACCTAACTTGCTCCACGTCCTTCTCCAAAACCACATGCCAACCAACCGTACACACCCTAGCACAGAGGTTCCCAACCCTGTTCCCGCGGGCGCCATGGCGCCCGCTTAACGATTCATATGTGCCCGCCTCTCACTATTCGACAGAGACAGCTTTTTTTTTAAAAAACATTATTTTAAAATATGATTTATTTTTATTCATTTGTTACAGTTTTAATTTTTTTTTTGACTGCCTAGGTTTATTAAATATGTTCGATACTTGTCCCAACTTGTCTAGCGGCGAGCCAGACTGCGCTATTTACGCTAGCCTGGAACGGCAAGTGCCATTTGAATAATTTTTTGGTTCGACATGTTTATGCGAATAATTGTTTTCAAACTTGACCTTAATAAAATCAAGATATAGATCTCGACTCAACGATGAGCATCTTGATGATTGTCTGCTAACAGGATTATCGTCATACGCTCCTAATTATGAAGCTCTGGCCATTGAAATGCAATGCCAAATATCATATTGACTTTATTATATTTTTTATTTAAATGTTTTCTTTGTATTTATGTGTTTTGTTTACTTTCTTTACGTTTTGTAAATACATTTCTCTGTGTGTATGCAATTTTAAAAAAATGCCAAATAATGTTATTATTTTGAAAAATTTTTGTTTCTTATTTATTAATACATTATGACTATAAGAAAATAAGAAAAAAGAAAATAAATTATGGGAAAATGGCAAGTTATGGAAGGAGTTTGTCGATTTAAAATAGTTGGTGCCCGCCACCCTACCGATATTTTAGAATGTGCTCTAGAGTAAAAAAAAGGTTGGGAACCCCTGCCCTAGCACAAGCTCTGCGCCCGGGGAGAAACATTCAATTTGGCGCCCCTTCCCCCAAATATTTTTTATATTTGTAATTCAAATCTGCAGCTAAATGAGCTTTTAATTTTTTTCCAGCCCATTTAAGCGCACGTAGGTCGTCGCCTGGGGACATATGTACCTTCCTTCTGACGCTCTAGCACCCGTCAATTGACAATCCTTACGTGAACGCTTCTCGTTTCATGTAAACACAATCAACTAAGGGCTACAGCTATATACAAAGTAGGCTACCTGTCATTCGAACACAACACACACAATCAGGGGAAACTACACATTTCAAATAAATATATTTAATGTTGCTTATAAAGTTAATCTAGCTGATACTTTTGTATAAACCAAACGAAGTTGTATAACGCCAATGGTGTTGTGTTAAGCTGACAGTGCTGTACGATAAGTCTCTGTCATGTGTAATTTCCTACTCATATTGAGTGATTAGAACTTACGCTCAACTACGTTTTCGCAATGGTTTCAATTTACATACAAACAAAATGAGCTTGAATCAAATGTATCGTACTAACTTTAAACTAAAACGTGTCGTAGTCCTATATGGATGCTCACTCCCATGATGTAGTTATATACAAAATAGCATTTGTAACTTAAAAAGGGATGGTTAATCGATTATATTAATATATATATATATATATATATATATATATATATATATATATATATATATATATATTTATATATATTTATATATATATATATACAAATATGTGTGTGTGTGTGTGTATGTGTGTGGGTAGGCTGAAATGGGTGCCCCTCTACCATCACCAACATTAAATAAATGATATGACTACACGTAGCTCACTTCATAAAGTCCAGCCTCCCCAAGGTCTTAGGTGTTGGGTTCTTCTAAGTCTAGGGGTATATATGTATAACACACAACACAACGTGTAGATAACACTAAATAACACTGCTAAACAATAATAAATTATGTATGTGCAAGCATTGTTTGCGAATAACATTCCATTTTTCAACTGTGATAACTATTCAGTGGTCAAAGTAGTTGCGTATCAGTCAACTTGCTGATGTGGCGTGGGTTTTATTCCCTTGGATTTAAGTTTTTTTTATTTTTTTATTTTACTTGGTTAATAAAGCAAATAAAGCATGTTGTAGAACTTTTGAAGAATTGCCATTTAAGGCATAAGGTTTAAAATTAGCGTTTGTTTTTTCTACAGACTTTTTCTCCAGGGGTGGCGGAGGGGGGGGGGGGGGGTAAGGGGTGACACTAGAATTTTTTTTTGGGGGAGGGGTGTGCCTAAAAGACACTCTGGCTAGTGAGGATTAAGGTTTGGTCTTAGGGTGTATACACGCATGCGCAGTTCATCGAAAACATTGCCATGAGGGGAGTTATTATTTTCCCCATTGTGTATGCGCAGTTTGTTCCGTCTATAGTCGGCCTTAAACAAATCACAATTAAAATATCCAAACCAAACAGAATAGTTACACCATTAAAAGTCGGCTGAGATGATGATTCTGCAGTGGACTCTTGGCTCATGTATAATCGAACTGCCTCACTACATTGGGCTTGATATTGGTGGTTAAACAACAACTTTTCGACTGCAACTGAGGTTGGACGATCTACCCAGTATGCGGTACTACCACACTTAACGGACGTAGGAAGATCTACCCCGTATACGTTACTACCAATAACGGAGTCCATACATTGTGTACGAGGAAGTAATACGAAAATAAATGTATAATAATGTATCACTTTTTAAATAACTCAAATTTAATCAAATAAAGCGTTAAGAGAAATGAAATTATTTATGGAATATAATAAATTAGAAAAAGTTTAGTTTTTATATGTTAATAAAAGAACGAATGAACTGTTCTAACAATGTCTAACACTTTATATTTGTTTACACGTTCACTTAAAAAAGGAATACATAAGTAAATAAAGTTAGAATAGAAATTGATGGCTTATGTATTAAATGTATTATCAATTGTTAGCCCTGTGTTTGTAGGTCTTGTGGCTATACATCCTGCACTTGTAGGTCCTGTGGTTGTAGGTCCTGTGGTTGTAAATTATGTGCCTAAGGATTCTGTGATTTTAGATTATGTGGTTGTAGGTGCTGCGGTTGTAGGTGCTGTGGTTGTAGGTGCTGTGGTTGTAGCTGCTGTGGTTGTAGGTGCTGTGGTTGTAGCTGCTGTGGTTGTAGGTGCTGTGGTTGTAGGTGCTGTGGTTGTAGGTGCTGTGGTTGTAGGTGCTGTGTTTGTAGCTGCTGTGGTTGTAGGTGCTGTGGTTGTAGGTGCTGTGGTTGTAGCTGCTGTTGTTGTAGGTGCTGTGGTTGTAGCTGCTGTTGTTGTAGGTGCTGTGATTGTAGGTGCTGTACTTTTAGGTGCTGTGGTTGTAGGTGCTGTGGTTGTAGGTGCTGTACTTTTAGGTGCTGTGGTTGTAGGTGCTGTACTTTTAGGTGCTGTGGTTGTAGGTGCTGCGGTTGTAGGTGCTGTTGTTGTAGGTGCTGTGGTTGTAGTTGCTGTAGTTGTAGGTGCTGTGGTTGTAGGTGCTGTGGTTGTAGGTGCTGTGGTTGTAGGTGCTGTACTTTTAGGTGCTGTGGTTGTAGGTGCTGTACTTTTAGGTGCTGTGGTTGTAGGTGCTGCGGTTGTAGGTGCTGTGGTTGTAGGTGCTGTGGTTGTAGGTGCTGTGGTTGTAGCTGCTGTGGTTGTAGGAGCTGTGGTTGTAGGTGCTGTGTTTGTAGGTGCTGTGGTTGTAGGTGCTGTGGTTGTAGGTGCTGTGGTTGTAGCTGCTGTGGTTGTAGGAGCTGTGGTTGTAGGTGCTGTGTTTGTAGGTGCTGTGGTTGTAGGTGCTGTGGTTGTAGGTGCTGTGGTTGTAGGTGCTGTACTTTTAGGTGCTGTGGTTGTAGGTGCTGTACTTTTAGGTGCTGTGGTTGTAGGTGCTGTACTTTTAGGTGCTGTGGTTGTAGGTGCTGTACTTTTAGGTGCTGTGGTTGTAGGTGCTGTGGTTGTAGGTTCTGTGGTTGTAGGTGCTGTACTTTTAGGTGCTGTGGTTGTAGGTGCTGTACTTTTAGGTGCTGTGGTTGTAGGTGCTGTGGTTGTAGGTGCTGTGGTTGTAGGTGCTGTGGTTGTAGGTGCTGTGGTTGTAGGTGCTGTGGTTGTAGCTGCTGTGGTTGTAGGTGCTGTGGTTGTAGGTGCTGTGGTTGTAGGTGCTGTGGTTGTAGGTGCTGTGGTTGTAGCTGCTGTGGTTGTAGGTGCTGTGGTTGTAGCTGCTGTGGTTGTAGGTGCTGTGGTTGTAGGTGCTGTGGTTGTAGCTGCTGTGGTTGTAGGTGCTGTGGTTGTAAATTATGTGCCTGCATATTCTGTGTTTGTAGGTGCTGTGGTTGTAGGTGCTGTGGTTGTAGCTGCTGTGGTTGTAGGTGCTGTGGTTGTAAATTATGTGCCTGCATATTCTGTGTTTGTAGGTGCTGTGGTTGTAGGTGCTGTGGTTGTAGGTGCTGTGGTTGTAGCTGCTGTGGTTGTAGGTGCTGTGGTTGTAGCTGCTGTGGTTGTAGGTGCTGTGGTTGTAGGTGCTGTGGTTGTAGGTGCTGTGGTTGTAGCTGCGGTGGTTGTAGGTGCTGTGGTTGTAGCTGCTGTTGTTGTAGGTGCTGTGGTTGTAGCTGCTGTGGTTGTAGGTGCTGTGGTTGTAGGTGCTGTGGTTGTAGGTGCTGTACTTTTAGGTGCTGTGGTTGTAGGTGCTGTACTTTTAGGTGCTGTGGTTGTAGGTGCTGTGGTTGTAGGTGCTGTGGTTGTAGGTGCTGTGGTTGTAGGTCAAGTGGTTGTAGATGCTGTGGTTGTAGGAGCTGTGGTTGTAGGTGCTGTGGTTGTAGGTGCTGTACTTTTAGGTGCTGTGGTTGTAGGTGCTGTGGTTGTAGGTGCTGTGGTTGTAGGTGCTGTACTTTTAGGTGCTGTGGTTGTAGGTACTGTACTTTTAGGTGCTGTGGTTGAAGGTGCTGTGGTTGTAGGTGCTGTGGTTGTAGGTGCTGTACTTTTAGGTGCTGTGGTTGTAGGTGCTGTGGTTGTAGGTGCTGTGGTTGTAGGTGCTGTGGTTGTAGGTGCTGTGGTTGTAGGTGCTGTGGTTGTAGGTGCTGTACTTTTAGGTGCTGTGGTTGTAGGTGCTGTGGTTGTAGGTGCTGTGGTTGTAGGTGCTGTGGTTGTAGGTGCTGTGGTTGTAGGTGCTGTACGTTTAGGTGCTGTGGTTGTAGGTGCTGTGGTTGTAGGTGCTGTGGTTGTAGGTGCTGTACTTTTAGGTGCTGTGGTTGTAGGTGCTGTGGTTGTAGGTGCTGTGGTTGTAGGTGCTGTGGTTGTAGGTGCTGTGGTTGTAGGTGCTGTACTTTTAGGTGCTGTGGTTGTAGGTGCTGTGGTTGTAGGTGCTGTGGTTGTAGGTGCTGTGGTTGTAGGTGCTGTGGTTGTAGGTGCTGTACTTTTAGGTGCTGTGGTTGTAGGTGTTGTGGTTGTAGGTGCTGTGGTTGTAGGTGCTGTACTTGTAGGTGCTGTGGTTGTAGGTGCTGTGGTTGTAGGTGCTGTGGTTGTAGGTGCTGTGGTTGTAGGTGCTGTGGTTGTAGGTGCTGTGGTTGTAGGTGCTGTGGTTGTAGGTGCTGTGGTTGTAGGTGCTGTGGTTGTAGGTGCTGTGGTTGTAGGTGCTGTGGTTGTAGCTGCTGTGGTTGTAGGTGCTGTGGTTGTAGGTGCTGTGGTTGTAGCTGCTGTGGTTGTAGGTGCTGTGGTTGTAAATTATGTGCCTGCATATTCTGTGTTTGTAGGTGCTGTGGTTGTAGGTGCTGTGGTTGTAGGTGCTGTGGTTGTAGGTGCTGTGGTTGTAGCTGCTGTGGTTGTAGGTGCTGTGGTTGTAGGTGCTGTGGTTGTAGGTGCTGTGGTTGTAGCTGCGGTGGTTGTAGGTGCTGTGGTTGTAGCTGCTGTTGTTGTAGGTGCTGTGGTTGTAGCTGCTGTGGTTGTAGGTGCTGTGGTTGTAGGTGCTGTGGTTGTAGGTGCTGTGGTTGTAGCTGCTGTGGTTGTAGCTGCTGTGGTTGTAGGTGCTGTGGTTGTAGGTGCTGTGGTTGTAGGTGCTGTGGTTGTAGGTGCTGTGGTTGTAGGTCAAGTGGTTGTAGATGCTGTGGTTGTAGATGCTGTGGTTGTAGGTGCTGTGGTTGTAGGTGCTGTACTTTTTGGTGCTGTGGTTGTAGTTGCTGTACTTTTAGGTGCTGTGGTTGTAGGTGCTGTGGTTGTAGGTGCTGTGGTTGTAGGTGCTGTGGTTGTAGGTCAAGTGGTTGTAGATGCTGTGGTTGTAGGAGCTGTTGTTGTAGGTGCTGTGGTTGTAGGTGCTGTACTTTTAGGTGCTGTGGTTGTAGGTGCTGTGGTTGTAGGTGCTGTGGTTGTAGGTGCTGTACTTTTAGGTGCTGTGGTTGTAGGTACTGTACTTTTAGGTGCTGTGGTTGAAGGTGCTGTGGTTGTAGGTGCTGTGGTTGTAGGTGCTGTACTTTTAGGTGCTGTGGTTGTAGGTGCTGTGGTTGTAGGTGCTGTGGTTGTAGGTGCTGTGGTTGTAGGTGCTGTGGTTGTAGGTGCTGTACTTTTAGGTGCTGTGGTTGTAGGTGCTGTGGTTGTAGGTGCTGTGGTTGTAGGTGCTGTGGTTGTAGGTGCTGTGGTTGTAGGTGCTGTACGTTTAGGTGCTGTGGTTGTAGGTGCTGTGGTTGTAGGTGCTGTTGTTGTAGGTGCTGTGGTTGTAGGTGCTGTGGTTGTAGGTGCTGTGGTTGTAGGTGCTGTGGTTGTAGGTGCTGTGGTTGTAGGTGCTGTGGTTGTAGGTGCTGTACTTTTAGGTGCTGTGGTTGTAGGTGCTGTGGTTGTAGGTGCTGTGGTTGTAGGTGCTGTGGTTGTAGGTGCTGTGGTTGTAGGTGCTGTACTTTTAGGTGCTGTGGTTGTAGGTGCTGTGGTTGTAGGTGCTGTGGTTGTAGGTGCTTTACTTGTAGGTGCTGTGGTTGTAGGTGCTGTGGTTGTAGGTGCTGTGGTTGTAGGTGCTGTGGTTGTAGGTGCTGTGGTTGTAGGTGCTGTGGTTGTAGGTGCTGTGGTTGTAGGTGCTGTGGTTGTAGGTGCTGTGGTTGTAGGTGCTGTGGTTGTAGGTGCTGTGGTTGTAGCTGCTGTGGTTGTAGGTGCTGTGGTTGTAGGTGCTGTACTTTTAGGTGCTGTGGTTGTAGGTGCTGTGGTTGTAGGTGCTGTTGTTGTAGGTGCTGTGGTTGTAGGTGCTGTGGTTGTAGGTGCTGTGGTTGTAGGTGCTGTGGTTGTAGGTGCTGTGGTTGTAGGTGCTGTGGTTGTAGGTGCTGTGGTTGTAGGTGCTGTGGTTGTAGGTCAAGTGGTTGTAAATTATGTGCCTGCATATTCTGTGTTTGTAGGTGCTGTGATTGTAGGTGCTGTACTTTTAGGTGCTGTGGTTGTAGGTGCTGTGGTTGTAGGTGCTGTGGTTGTAGGTGCTGTGGTTGTAGGTGCTGTGGTTGTAGCTGCTGTGGCTGTAGCTGCTGTGGTTGTAGGTGCTGTGGTTGTAGGTGCTGTGGTTGTAGCTGCTGTGGTTGTAGGTGCTGTGGTTGTAGGTGCTGTGGTTGTAGCTGCTGTGTTTGTAGCTGCTGTGGTTGTAGCTGCTGTGGTTGTAGGTGCTGTGGTTGTAGCTGCTGTGGTTGTAGGTCAAGTGGTTGTAAATTATGTGCCTGCATATTCTGTGTTTGTAGGTGCTGTTGTTGTAGGTGCTGTGGTTGTAGGTGCTGTGTTTGTAGGTGCTGTGGTTGTAGCTGCTGTGGTTGTAGGTGCTGTGGTTGTAGGTCAAGTGGTTGTAGGTCAAGTGGTTGTAAATTATGTGCCTGCATATTCTGTGTTTGTAGGTGCTGTGGTTGTAGGTGCTGTGGTTGTAGGTGCTGTGGTTGTAGGTGCTGTGGTTGTAGCTGCTGTGGTTGTAGCTGCTGTGGTTGTAGCTGCTGTGGTTGTAGGTGCTGTGGTTGTAGCTGCTGTGGTTGTAGGTCAAGTGGTTGTAAATTATGTGCCTGCATATTCTGTGTTTGTAGGTGCTGTGGTTGTAGCTGCTGTGGTTGTAGGTGCTGTGGTTGTAGGTGTTGTGGTTGTAGGTGCTGTGGTTGTAGGTGCTGTGGTTGTAGCTGCTGTGGTTGTAGGTCCTGTGGTTGAAGGTCTTGTGGTTGTAGGTTCTGTAGTTGTAGTTCCTATGGTTGTAGGTCTTCTCCTTGTAGCTTCTGTTGTTTTATCCCAAAATAAAAATAATAATGTAGATGAATAGTTCGTAAAAACAAAGTATGATAGTTATATAGAGAAAACTATAAACACAGTGTTTTGGATGAAAACGGTCCTAAATTGCAATAAGCCTAACACTTGAAATATTAAAATCATATAGACCAGGGGTCGGCAACCTTCGGCTCGCGAGCCGCATGCGGCTCTTTTGATGTCAAGATGCGGCATTCATCTCCATGCACAATCATCAATATTTTTTTTTCAATACTCATAAAAATATAACATTAGTTAATGAACAATACAATAATAAATATATAAAAATGAACAACAAACACTCGCTGTTCTATTAAAATATTTAGTTACTCCCTATTTCAATATACTTCCTATTAAATTGGCAATTCCGAATAGATACATTCAACATCATGGTGGATATCACAAAGAAACTAAGCGAGCTAAATGTAAAACTGAAGGGAAAGGAAAACCCAGCCTATTACTTACTTAAAGAATTGCATTGTTTCGAAAAAAAAATTACTTTTATTTTAATTGAAGACACGGAAAACGATAAAATACTTAATTTCGATAAATTTGAAAAAAAAATATCCCGATGAAACAAATGCTACTATTAACATGAATTATTTTAGCATTATGATAAAAAATAAAGAATCGGTTCACTGGGAGATTAGGGCAATTAAAAACAAATGCAAGTACACGTTGACGCTCATAGGGAATCCTCTTAACACAAAAACACATGATAATCATTATTGCGCCATTTAGAATTGATGCTGATTCGCTTCAAATGAAAATGCTGGATTTGAAAACTAAACATTTGTGGAGTGGTAGGTTCAAAGAACTCTAGAGCAAGTTAGAAGATTGGGGGGTCCAGAGAAACATGCACGTTTCGCTGTACAAGTGGACAGTTCTAAAAGAAATGCCGCGAGTGGAATCACTAATATGTGACGCATGGAATAGTCTTCCAGGATGCTAAAGTGAGGTAGTGGTAACGATTTTCGGGTCAACATATTCATGCGAGCAAGCGTTTTCTTGAATGAATATAATAAAAAGTAAATAAGCCAACTAACAAATACAAAATCTAGAGGCGTGCTTGAAACTGAAAACAAGTTATGAACCAGCTTTAAACATACTTTCAAAAGGCATGCAAGGCCAAACTATTGTTTAATATCATTCAACAATTATAGTTATTTAATTTGATTACTGATTTTATTATTCTAGAAGAGCTAGCAAAAATACTTTCATATTTTTGTGCGAAACATGTGTATGTTTTTATATAAATAAATATTATTTCATTTTGCAGACTATTTATTTTAAATTATATATATATATATATATATATATATATATATATATATATATATATATATATATATATATATATATATATATATATATATATAATCCTAATCATATAACATAATATTGAAATAAAAGTTAGTGGCTCTTTAAAAACTGGATAATTTTGTAAATTGCCGACCCGTGATATAGGCTATTATGTCTATTAGCGTACTCTCTTAGATTCTGATACGTTTAAATCTTCATTAGTCAAGTAAAGTACCGTTACTATTGCCAGCTTTATTGTCTACACTAAAAAACAAGTGTGGTCCCCCAGTATTGAAGATGTTTATACATGTATAAAACTAAATGTATTATTATTTAGAATATTATTATGTTTTGCTATAAAAAAAATTACTTTGAACAAAATCCAACTTACGCGACTCCATACACAACACCTGATGTTTGTTGGCGCAGTTTTCATCAGTTACAGATGCGTCATAGACACTCAGAAGGGCACAGTTACTACTGCTATCGTGATGTGGGTAACCATCCTCCCACCAATTGTTTAATGGTAACTGGACGGCGTTGGTATTGTCATGGACCCACACGAATGTTCCTTCTGTAGTTTTATCGTTGGCGCCGATCCAATAATAGCCTGCACGATTGGACACCATCTTTTATAAAGCTTTTAGTAAGTTGTACTAGCCATATTTATAAGGCTTTTAGTAAGTTGTACTAGCCATATTTATAAGGCTTTTAGTAAGTTGTACTAGCCATATTTATAAGGCTTTTAGTAAGTTGTACTAGCCATATTTTATATACAACACGTTTTGAATTATGAGACAACACACATTATTTTATTCGATTGCATTTTTTCTTACAATCTCAGTTTTTAAAAAAATAATTAAAAAAAACGGGAGTTTTCTCTCCTAAACTTTCTCGAGCATTTCGGGGGACGGTAACTCAGGATATAGACACGATTTTAAATCAATTTTTAAATACTTACACTTTTAAAATAGAAAAGAATATCGTAGAAAAAACAATTGCGCACAAAGTGAGCAGCAAACAATGTATGTATAATATAATGCAGCCTAACAGTTATGTTGCACGATTAAGATGAATGTTTATTTTCATAGTTATAAAAGAATTTGTGAAATTATATATTAGCAATAGCTCGTAGCTTACGGTTGTAGAATAAAACATTATCTCTTATTTTCAGTTTGGAAAATACACGTTTGAGCAGAAAGCGAAATTTCTTGTTTACAGAAAGTACATTATAAAAAACACATATTTGAATGTAACATTACGCATCATACCGCCCCGTATAACGTTAGGCAAGAGAAGGGGCCAGAACCCTCACAGTACATTTGTCACAGTTACCAATAAATTATACATACCGCAATAACTAAACAATGTAGTAACACTATTAAACTGTGTCTTTGATGAAATACTAGCCAGTGTTCCACCAAAATTTTGGCATGCCACCTAATTTTAAAAAACATAAAATGGTGAACAAGAATTAAAAAGCTAAGATTGTTGGTGAAAAATGCAAATTTACAAACGAAAATTTATTTTTACAAAAAAATATAACGTTAATGTTAAAATGGTGCTTTGGAGAAAATTAACTATTTCACAAAAAATGTATTAAATATCATTATTTTTAAAAATATTATATTAAATTTCCATTTCAAACTAAAACTTTACGTAATGTTACCTACAAGTGCATCATTCTACGACAGATCTACTTCAACAGCATGGAAACATCGACCTTCAATTGATTTTGAGTGTGTCCAGAGGCATTTACCTGAAAATATTAAATTACAACATAATTTGTTTATTAAGTATACATTTGAACTTACATATTAGATATCGGATGACAAAAAATAAAAATAAATCTTCTGGAAAAAAATGTGACTACAGGTACTGTTCAATGCCTCAACATTTATTTTTTGAGCTTTGTTTATTGTTAGCGAAATTATGTTTTTGCGTGAACTTTTTCGAATTCTATTTGAAAATTTGAATTTACGGTCAATTGTTTATTGTTTTTAAAAACAATCATTGTCTAAAATGTAAAGCGGCCTTTCTCAAAGTCTTAGTCTGGAAATAAAAAATTTCATCAGTGAAAGTCACATCTTTGTCTAGAACTGCAATGTTTCATCAATAAAATTCAAGTCTTAGTCTCGAACTGCAATGTTTTATCAATGAATGTAAAAACTGTTTCATCAATGAAAGTCAGTAGTAATGATTTAAAACCCAAACAGAAAGATATTAACTTGTAAGATAACTTCAACAATTATGAAAATTATATGGCCATGTGGTAAAAGTACCCTTTAGCATAAATGAAACAATACCAGTTGCGAATTTAAATTGTTTTGATTTGATACCATTAAAATGTAATGTTGTGTAAAGTGAAACTTACGTTTATGTACCTTGGATACAAATTACAACTCACCAGAAAACACACCACGTATGTGTAAAGCAATCATTGAATACACGAACAAACTTAGTTTTACCGTAGCCATTTCGTGATGAAAATAGTCTGAAGTTATAAGAATAAAGTTCATTTAGATAGTAATAATAGAAGGAGTAAACTTTAAAAAGTAATGATAAAATTACTAATTTTAATCACATCTGCATTATTTCAAAACCTCAGTCAAATGATAAATTCAGATCCAATATTATTATGTTTTAAAATTAGATTATTTGACAAAAATCAAATTTCTGTTAGCTGGTTTAACTTTTACGAGCATAAGTAATATTTCGTGGTATCTCATTTCTAAAAATATTTTTAGAAAATAATTATTTGTCAAGAATGTGAGATTAAAGTATACCGCTAGACGAAATTATCTGGACGATTGATAAACAACACTTGCGGCATTATAAAGTTAACATTAATGTTAAACTGTCATCTACAGTGTCACAAGTAAGGGCCACTTTAAAATACTACAATTAAAATACACAATATGATCACCTTTAAACAGCATTTCAGTAGAAAAGTTTGAGATTGTGCAACATGCTGTACAACTTTTGTTGGGGTTGAATGAAGAGGGGGATATCTATCATTAGAATGACATCAGCAAGCTAAAATTATTACACACATTAATTACGAGAATTAAGAGCACTAAATCATAAATATATGTTTAAGGTTTTGACTTTCTCGAATAAGAAGCTTATAGGAAGTATTGTAATCGCCAAAGAAAATCAAGATTTTCACAAATCTCGACGTTTTACACGTCTCGACGTTTTCAGTTATTCGGACACGATTTCATAAATAGGTAAAATATTTAATATTGCATTGGTTCTTGCCAACTTTGAGTGATTTACGGTGACCGGAAGTATTACCCTACCTTATTTGCAATTTCTTGAAACAAAAAACAAGCATTAGATAATTTAATATAATGCTTTTTAAAGAAATAACTGCTAAAATGTCTTCGCCTCTCTATATTTTTTCTTAAAATGATCGGATTTGTATCAAACTTCTATATTTCTACAACCCTTTAGTAATGTAAGACCCATAGACCTACTGTTTAAAAAAGAAAATAAAGTTTAGGAGAAGATCACTCCAGCTTTATTTCAGAAAGTGAGTGCCATTGATGTTCCTATTTGATACCGACCACTGAAAATATGCTTTCCTCTCTTACGATTACGTCTTTAGGTATTTACACAAATATTGTTGATTAATACTTGATCAATTTGTTTTTAATGGGTTTTTTTTCATCTAATGATTTTCACATGTCTTTATATTGACATGAATGTGGAAATTTGTATTTTCTAATACAAAAACATTTCTATTTTTACATTTGACGTGTATTCTCTAATTCGTTTCTCCCCATAGCTGCTTGTCTGTCTTATCTGTTGATTTTAACACGTGGCCTTACGCATTATAAGTCATGTAACAGCAAAGCCACAATCTTGGCTTGGCGCGCTTTAAGGGTTTTAATTAATTAAAGAAACAAGCACGAACCGTTCTATGACTACGTGGCGACAAAGCTCACAGCATGTGGGGTTAACACTAAGTAACGGGCAAGGCTATGAAATAATAAAAAAATGCTTTTAAATGCTCTGAAAATAGGAACGTGGTTTCTTTCTTTCATAATAGCTTTGGTTACTCATTAGAACTTTTAAATGTTTTAGCAATCATAGCTTTTATGAAAGAAAGCAAATTAGTATTTTCTTTTCTTATTTCCAGTGCATTTTAAAAGCTTGTCGCTATAAAGGTTTTTACTTTCTCGTATATACGAAGTATAGAGAAAGTATTGTAATCGTGCAAAAAAAAAATCGAGATTTTTACAAATCTCGACGTATTATACCTCACTGATACGGAAAAACATAATTTTGCAATCTTGTCCGTAAGTCTCTGTGTGTGTGTGTGTGTGTGTGTGTGTGTGTGTGTGTCTGTGTGTCCGTGTTTAAACACGATTACTTGAGTACCGTTACAGCTAGGTTGATGAAATTTCATATATAAGTATTTTATCAAAATCGTAGATCCGTATCAACTTTTGAGCGATTTTCGATAACCGAAAGTGGTACTTTTCCTACTTTGAATTTTTTCAAAAGCCTATAACTTGAGTACTATTTCAGATAGATACATGAAATTTCACATGTAAGTAAAAGATCTAATTCTCTACCTTCTGTTAAATTTTGAGTAATTTCCGTTGACTGGAAGTAGTAATTTACGCTACTTTCGATTTCTCAAAAAACTAATGTAAATTTTAGAAGTACTAATAATATTGCGCACTATTATGCGCTTTTTTATTTGGCGTTCACTTGGTGTGCAATTAATTTGTCTACGAGATTTTATTCTATTTTTAAAACTTTAAGTATTTAAAATGGATTAAAAATCATGTCTATAGCCCGAGTTCCCATCCCCTGTTATTTTATATAAGAATATTCGAGAAAGTTTAGGGGAGATCACTCCCGGTTTATTTACATATGTTTTATTTTCTAGTTTTTAGAGATTCCTAATTTAAAAAGTCGACATGACTAAAAATATTTTCTTTAAAACAACATCAGCAGCTCGCGATATCTAAAAGACGATTATCTGACCCGTGAAAGCAGTCGTCCGTGACCATATTTTACAGACGACAATCAACTTAGAATTCAATCGTTAAAAAAACTGTTTTATCTGCCCTAATATCCTTATCTAGATCGACTGGCTCAGTGTCGAAATCGGTCAATTAATTTTAATGACTAATTAAACATCTAGTTAAATTTTAAAAAGACAGTTTGACTTGTGTTGTTATTAAAGTTGAACGTATCTGTTAAGTTTGAACTTCTTTCTTCTTCTTCTTCTTCGTTCTTAATTTTTGAATATGGTGGAGGATTCAGACAAGTCCAACTTCATGGACAAACCGGACTGTGGTTTCCAGTTGGTCAGGTGTCCCATATAATTTTTCCCTGAGTGGGGTGGGCAGGGGCCAGTGTCTGCCTCTTGCCTGGCTATACAGAGTACAATCCTGGAGTACGTGCTCCGTGTTTTCCGGGGCCTTGCCACAAGGGCACATTTCGCTACACCCAACCTTCAGTTTTTTGTGCATGTGTTGATTTAGTCTGTTGTGGCCTGTTCTGAGTCGAAAGATTATGTATTGTTGTTTTCGTGTTAAATTGTAATAGCCGTCGTCTTTAATGTAGTGAGGGTGTGTGACAGACCACATTTGCGTTTGTTTGTGTTTAA